AAAAACATGGGATCGGCTCATGGCCGCGTTTCTTTGACGGCAGTGGAACCCCGTACAATTTTCCCGGGAAACGTATCCGAACTGCAGTGACTTACAACTTGGTAAAGTTAAGGATCTGACTGTAAACAGTGGAAAAGACATTTGATGAAGTTTGTGTTTTTAGGACATTTTTTATTTACAGTGGAACACTGGTGTGGCGTAATAGGCTTGTCTGAATTTAGGAAATTATTGGATACTGTAATTCGTTTCATTGTTTGCGCAGACACTGTAAACAATGAACGTACACGTGAAAGACGTCAGATTACATGTTGATAAAAGCTTTATTGAAAGTGTTGCACCAGGAAATCACACAAGACGACTGTAGTATTTATTGTTCACAGTTGGCTTTTGTATTATACGGAACACAGCCAGACCTGCATACAAACTTTGGGGGACACACACTAGGTTCGGATAACCGAACATTTCGGATAATCGACGTTCGGATAATCGACGTTCTACTGTACTGAGAAAGCCTAGCTTCCAACTGAATTTTCTACTGGAGTCCATGCCCATATACAACGTACGGAAAGTGAAAAAATCCAAAAAAATAATAACAACAAAAATCGTAACTTCCAAAAAATAGAGATATCTTCACTAAATGAAGAAACTTGATAGAGAACCAGTCCATGTGTCTACATTATGAATTTCAAAGCCATGTGGCAGGCGGTTTTGAAGAAGAAGTCAAAAATGCACAAAAAAGAGCAAACAAAAAATGCACTAAATATAGACACTCACATAGGGTGCCATGAAAATAATAGGTCTGAGTGAACATTTATGTCAAGCAGTTATTAAAAAAATCATTTTTGACTAAAAATGACAAACAAGGAGCCTGTCGGCTGAGATAGCTCCGCTGTTAGCAATGCACATTTCAATTAAAGAACAGAAGATATCATTAGAAAATGAACAATATGTACTATACATCAAAGCAATGGGACTCATTACCAAAAATGACAAAAATATTCACTAAAATTAGAGAATTAAAGATATCATTACAAAATGAACAAATCTGAGAGAGGTCCACATGTAGTACATATATATGTAATATCAAAGCAATTGGACTTGTGTTTTTTACCAAGAAGTCGAAAATATCACTTTTTACCAAAAATGACAAAAATATTCACCAAAATTAGAGAATTAAAGATATCATTACAAAATGAACAAACCTGAGAGAGGTCCAAACCTATATATGTAATATCAAAGTAATGGGACTTGCTGTTTTTAACAAGAAGTTAAAAATGTAACTTTTTACAAAAATGACAAAAATATTTACCAAAATTAGAGAATTGAAGATATCATCATGAAATGAAGGAGAGGTCTACCAAAGGTACATATACACCAAGTATCAAAGCATTCAGGCTTGTAGTTTTCAAGAAGAAGTCAAAAAAGTAAAACATTGACATGGACGTTGATGGACAATCACTCATATGATAAGCTCCGCTCGACAAAGTTGACAGCGGAGCTAAAAATATTCCCTAAAAATAGATATTTGGATGTGATGTCATGAAATGAACAAATCTGACCAGAGGACCACCCCAGGTGAACTAGCTTATACTGTTTGGGAGCAGAAGTCACTTGAAAAAAGTTAACAGACAACAGATGACGGACAGATGACAGGTCCAGTCAACCCATGAGCTCTGCTCAGTCATCTTCGATAACAGCAGAGCTAAAAATACACAAAAAATTTTCATCAATGGATTCTGTTATTCCTCAAACAATTGACCGCGACATGACCATATCACCATACATCAAGAATGCAGCCTAAAAAAAAACTATTATATCTTCCAATTCACACCTAGATTGACCCCTGGAATCCTGTCATATGGGAGATGATAAAACTATTATATCTACCAATTCACACCTAGATTGACCCCTGGAATCCTGTCATATGGGAGATGATAAAACTATTATATCTTCCAATTCACACCTAGATTGACCCCTGGAATCCTGTCATATGGGAGATGATAAAACTATTATATCTTCCAATTCACACCTAGATTGACCCCTGGAATCCTGTCATATGGGAGATGATAAAACTATTATATCTTCCAATTCACACCTAGATTGACCCCTGGAATCCTGTCATATGGGAGATGATAAAACTATTATTTCTTCCAATTCACACCTAGATTGACCCCTGGAATCCTGTCATATGGGAGATGATAAAACTATTATATCTTCCAATTCACACCTAGATTGACCCCTGGAATCCTGTCATATGGGAGATGATAAAACTATTATATCTTCCAATTCACACCTAGATTGACCCCTGGAATCCTGTCATATGGGAGATGATAAAACTATTATATCTTCCAATTCACACCTAGATTGACCCCTGGAATCCTGTCATATGGGAGATGATAAAACTATTATATCTTCCAATTCACACCTAGATTGACCCCTGGAATCCTGTCATATGGGAGATGATAAAACTATTATATCTTCCAATTCACACCTAGATTGACCCCTGGAATCCTGTCATATGGGAGATGATAAAACTATTATATCTTCCAATTCACACCTAGATTGACCCCTGGAATCCTGTCATATGGGAGATGATAAAACTGGTATTTTTTTTTTACTATTTGCACCCACAGATCAGACACCTGATTCACAGGATGCTTTAAAATTCTGTTGTTTTTTTTTTTCTATAAATTGTCAGCCCCTGATACCTGTTAATTTGATACATAAATAGAGATGCATACCCGGTGAAGGTTGTCTTCCTTTGTTTGCATCCGAGTATGATGTTCATGATGTAGTCTACGAAGCTCTTCAGTAGGTCCTGAAATAATAAAAATCAACTTAAATCAGAGTTTATGACATTCTTGCAACTAGCCAATAAGATATTCAACACATAGGCCTTCAACACATAGGCCTTCAGCACTTAGGTCTTCAGCACTTATGCCTTCAACACATTGGCCTTCAACACATTGGCCTTCAGCACATAGGCTTCAGCACATAGGCCTTCAACACATAGGCCTTCAAAACATAGGCCTTCAACACATTGGCCTTCAACACATTGGCCTTCAGCACATAGGCCTTCAGCACTTAGGCCTTCGGCACTTAGGCCTTCAACACATTGGCCTTCAACACATTGGCCTTCAACACATTGGCCTTCAACACATTGGCCTTCAACACATAGGCCTTCAGCACAGAGGCCTTCAACACATAGGCTGAAGTATGTTAGTTTACCGATTCTCTGGTATGCTAAGCAAATATCTGAATTTTTGAAGGAAGGATCATATATTTGGCTCAAAAATCTGGCCCGGGCGTCATTATGCTGCATTTTGATACTTTTAGTTGATACTTAGTTCATTTCAGGTGAACCATCAATAACGCATTCACTGTCAACACCATGCTTCCCAAACTTGTTTGAACATTGTCCTATATACAATCCTTGTATAACATATGCCATCCCTTATTCTGATGACTACATCTTTCCAGATAGAGATAAGAGAATAAACTTCATCCAAGCTCATCATTCACTCTTTAGGAACTTACTTGTTCAATGTCCTACACTTACAGCGTTTGATACATACACTCAAGAAGGAAGTTTATACATTGACGGTTACAGTCAGGGTGCCCACACTGCTAAAGTTGTTTAAATACTCTAATCTATTCAAATGTTCATAACAGAGTAATTATTATCCCAATGGTTATATATACATATAACTGTACCTTCAAAAAAGTGTTCTATTTTAGCTTCCAGCTCCCTCTGATTTCTATCCATTTGTTCCTTTCCACTCTCAAGGTTCTCTGTAATAAAAAAAACAAAATTACATGCATGATGAAATCATTGTGATGAAATCTTCATTATTTTAGCAGAATAATATGTCTATCAAACTACTGTATTAAAGGCACATGATGCTATAGTCTCTGACAATAAAATCATGATGTCAGATAACAGTTAAATTTGATTATGAAAAGTTTCTGTTATAATAATCACATACATAATATAAACTGGGCCAAGTAGAGACTAGAAGAACTTCTTGTAATAAACCAAACCATTTTCTTCACAGCCGTACATGGTCTGACACTTATTCCAGAAGATGTTCATCATCCCAAGTGAACAATTTGAAATGACCAATTGTGCAATCATAAAGAGATTATCGTCAAAAACAATCAAAGAAAGCTTAGAAAGAACTCCTGTGTGCTGAGAGTATTGAAGACACATTAAAAATTAATTCAAAATTACTTGTACTTGTTCATATCAGGTAACTGATATGAACAGATTTGAGTGTAAAACTAATAAGGCCTGCGTAATGTAATCTACATGTGTATGTACCAAGTTTCATTGAAATGTGATTAGAACCAAAAAATGATGAATTATTATTAGAGAATTAATATGAACAAATTTCAACCCAAAATTAATCGGGCCTGTCTATTGTTCTAGAGCATTTATGTACAAAATTTTATTCAAATGTGATGATCAATAATTGAGATATCAGTGTTAATTAATTATTTTAATTAGGTGATTAATAAGCATAAATATTTACCAAAAACTAATTGGGTCTCTGCATAGTCCTAGAGGATCAAGTCTCATTGAAATATGATGATCAGTACTTGAGTTATCAGGCAAAAAGCTGAAAATTAACTAATTATGCTAATAAGGTGATTAATATGGACAAATATTTACGCCAAAACTAATCAGGTCTCTGCAGTCTTTAAGTAACTATGTACCAAGTTTTATTGAAATGTGATGATTATTAGTTGAAATATCAAAAGCTGAAAATTAATTAATTATGCAAATCAGGTAATTAATATTGCACAGATTTTTTACCCAAAACCAATCAAATCTGCGCATTAGTTCAGAGCATTTATGTGCCAAGTTTAATCAAAATCCAATGAGTGGTTCTTTAGATATCAGTGGAACAATCAATCATGGAATTAATATGTACTGATACTACCCTAAAAACTATCAGTCTGGAAAAGCCAACAAATTGATTAATCATTATGCAAATTAGGTAAATAATATTGCACAGATTTTTACCAAAACCTAATCAAATCTGCGCATTGGCCTAGAGTACTATGCACCAAGTTTCATCAAAAATCAATGTATGGTTCTTGAGATATCAGTGGAACAGACACACACACACACACACACACACACACACACACACACACACACACACACAGACAGACTAACTGCAAAGACTCCCTTTTTGTGCTTCGCACACAGGAGTCAAAAACCACACAAAATTCATGTTTTACAAATAAGCAAAAAACACTGGCAAATAGCAAGAGATTAAAACGTTTATTCACAATATCACTCATTCGCATTTATTTCTTGAAATATGTTGTCATGCGATTTGCAAATGTGGTGTATCTTCATCACATCACACCCTTGTATAACCCCCATCTCAAAATATATTTTACCAAGAGTCTAATAAATATTCTTTCTGTCAGTGGAATTATGCACAGCTTCAAAAATGAGTTTTTGAAACCATTCGTACGAGACATAACTTACCAACTTTTTTCTCAAGTTCATAAATACTACCTTCCTTCTGAGCAATGTCTTCCAATTTATTCTAAAATATGAAACTTAAAATAATAAGTTACCATGCCAACAACTGAAATATCATTAATATATATTTTCCTGATTTCATGAAAATAGCCATGATGTTATATGAAGTCCAAATTTGGAAATATGCTAAACATTTGCAGCTCACAAAACAAAAATGTTTACAGTAAACAGCAGTTATTTCAGTATTGTTGGAATTTTTGACGTTTACCAAGTGTCATCACATACAATTGAATTCTGAACAAATGATCTCTCTAAAATTCATACTGCCACTAGAGGGCACTCATCAACTCCCAGGGGATGCTATATTCTCTTTTACTCTGCTGTCATCAGTACAACTCCAATTCTAATTTATTTTACGCCTGAAGAAGACACAATAATGTACCTTTACTGGTTCTAGTTGTTCTTTTATTTTATTGACAGTTTCTGTTGTAGCAGCTAATCTGGCTTCAGCTTTAGAAATGTTGTCTTTTATCTGAAATATAAAATCAATTAAAACTTTAGAAATGAATGAAATAAGCAGACTTTCAACGGAAAGTTAAAATCCTAAAATAAATCAACAACACCCTTGATTATGATCTTTTTATATAGTATTTGCTTTTATTTTTATAAGTTGTGTATGCACTTTCATAAATTCCACATTAGAAGTGTGAATTTTACACTTCAAATTTAACTTTGATTTATAGCCTTTGGACAACAAAATTATTGTTTATTTGTTTTAAAAGTGTTACATAATTACTGATTTAGACATGAGTCATTGAATTTTAGGATTTTTTACTCAGTACAATATATTGTTTTGGAGAAAACTAATCTGAAAACATGCAAAAATTGGGTGGGCCGTTCTGAGACTATTTCTATAGGAATTCATGTTCAAACAATATATCATAAAAACTTAAAAAGTATTTGTCAACATTTTTCAATAATTTTGGACAACCATAAAGACCTATCCTATAAGATATTATTTTTCACTATATGCACCTGAACACAAATTTAGACATATTATGGGAACCAACTAGTTCAAAAATCATCATATACAAGCATGTTTAATATATTTTTTGTCCAAATAGTTATTTGGTGACTATATATTTTTTTCTGGATTGTGTGAATAACATCTTAAAATAAAATTAAATGGTAGAGTGGAAAAAAATCTGTGATGAGTTTTAATGGTGGCCAACTACATGTACCTTAATAGAGTAAATACAGTATCTGTCTTCAAAACAAGCAGCCTCTCGGCTGAGATAGCTCCGCTGTTAGCAATGCACATTTCAATTAAAGAACAGAAGATATCATTAGAAAATGAACAATATGTATAGTATCAAAGCAATGGGACTTTCAACAAGAATTCAAAAATATCACTTTTCACCAAAAATGACAAATAAAATCATAAAAATTAAAAATGTAGTACCTATATATGTAATATAAAAACAATCGGAATTGCGGTTTTCAACAAGAAGTCAAAAATATCACTTTTTACCAAAAATGACAAAAATATTCACCAAAATTAGAGAATTAAAGATATCATCATGAAATGAACAAATCTGTGAGAGGTCCACATTTAGTACCTATATATGTCATATCAAAGCAATTGGACTACTTGTGGTTTTCAACAAGAAGTCGTAAATATCACTTTTTACTAAAAATTACAAAAATATTCACCAAAATTAGAGAATTGAAGATATCATCATGAAATGAACAAATCTGAGAGATGTCTACCCAAGATACATATACACCAAGTATCAAAGCATTCAGGCTTGTATTTTTCAAGAAGAAGTCAAACAAGCAGCCTGTCGGCTGAGATAGCTCCGCTGTTAGCAATGCACATGGCAATTAAAGAACAGAAGATATCATTAGAAAATGAACAAATCTGAGAGAGGTCCACATGTAGTACCTATATGTATAATATATCAAAGCAATTGGACTTGTGGTTTTCAACAAGAAGTCGAAAAT